AAAGTTGAGACTGCTGAGACTGAATCGTATGGACGCTATTTGGTGATGGAAGACTATAAATCATATGAATTACTCCCGGTGGTGGTGACTCTGAACGCAAGGCTACTGCGTTGGATGCATTGACCTTACGTGGGAGGTATTGAACCAGTCGGCCATCCTGCACCAACTCTTCGAGATGATCTTTCAAGGAATAGAACCTGTCGGTTTCGTGCCCATGGTCTTTGTGGTAGTCACATCGCCGATCCCTTCATCTTGCATCGAGGGGCCCAATCATTCTGGTAAGTCATTTAAAGAAGGGTAGGTGTTGAACTTTGGAGAGTATTTTGCTAATCGGCTCAGTCAACTCGGTATATTTCTTGTCAGACCGCCTGGGCACCTGCTCTCCACCTGATATTGCCCGCTTGATCGGCATGAACACTGGTACCTTGATCGACGACTGTCTTGGCAACTTTCTCGTTTTGGCATGCTTCGTGGCTTAGGGCTCCCTTGTGGAAGGACTACACTTATCGGCTGCACCAGGGTGAGTGTCGTCGTTTCCATGACCTTCTGACCTGCTTTGATGCGGAGGGCATCATTCTCCACTTTGCAATACTCCTCAACCTTCTTTATTAAGGCCCACACAGTTTTAGGAGGTCGCCTTGTCAATGAGCTCCAAAGCGGACTGTCAAGGTATAAACCCATCTTGAAGGCAGTGATGGCTATGGAATCATTGTAGGCGTCGTCAACCAGGTTGAAACATTTCCAATAACGTGCTAAATACTGACGGAGGGTTTCTTCCAGATTGATTTGCATCGCCCAGAGTGAGGCGGCTTGCTTTAGCTGAATCTCGTTGGTGATAAATCTTACCTGGAAGGATTTTTGGAGCTAATGAAAACTTTTGACTGAGGCCGGTTCGAGTTTATAATACCACCGGACCGCCAACGGACCCAGGCTACTTGGGAACATGCGACACATAAGCGCCTCATCGTCTGCGAGTAACGTCATTGCCTACTTCTAATGGCGAATGTGATCCGTATGATCTGATTTGCCGTCATACAACGAAATGTCGGTGCCTTGAATTTTTTAGGCAGGACGGCCCTTGTAATTCGTCGTGCGAAAGGATTATGTCTATCTTCCCCATCTAAATCGTCACATTTTCTTTATCTGTGCCGTACATATGGACTCCCTTCAGATGAGCTAGAAGCGCCAATACACTTTTTTTTTTGGGGGTTCTTGAGTTAATGAGTCGGAGGCAGTGCTACTATCATGCCTCCGGTGTCGACGTCGTGGATTATCTTTCTTCTGTTCCGGCAACCGACCTCGTTCGAGATGCAGTATGGTCTGCTAAGATTTGGCTAATTCCAGAGCCAGTTCTTTATGTAATCGTTCGTTGTCAGCCGCCATCTTTTCCAGTCGTTGTTCGTTTCATTTTGCCTGGTCCATTATCGTTTGCATGGTTTCCTACATTGAGGTCAAAGGTAAAGACTGAGTTACTGGGTCGAAATTCAAATCTCTTTGTGCGGTGATGTTCTCCAGACCAAGCATGGTTCTTGGTGTAACATCCTTTGCCACCAATGGAGGATCATCTGTTACGTCTATCATGAATGAGCTCGAGTATTTCCACAGACGGCACCAATTGTGGTGTAATGGGTTTAGGAATACTCTATTGTCCAAGAACATAATCCTCTTCTCTGTCCTCCTCTCATTTCTTTTATATTGTTTCCCTAGCGACCCTCCAAGGGCCCACTGCTTCCTCTTGGGCTTTGACCTCATTCATGAACCCTCTATATAGCCCATGGGATAATCGGCTCTGATGGCCCATTAAGCCTAGTTTTACTCGGCTTTGGCCCTCTACTGGACCTAATATGGCCGACTTGTCTATGACCATGGATTTGGCGTGTCCCGCCGACTCGTACTATGACAACCCAAGACTCAGTTTCATTTATTCGGCCACCACACTTTTTATATAGGATGATGATATTAATTTTTTGTTTGATTTCCCTACCAAAAAATGTTGTTGCCAAAGTTAATCTGATGTATAAGTGCCTTGTTTCTTTTAATTAGAACCATAAACAAGTTGAACATAGCAGTAGTAGATTCATGGATAAGCTTGATTTGAAATTTTAACAAGCTTTAAAAATATATTTAATTTTTCTTTTTTAATAATCTATTGGCTATGTTAATGCATATATGGTATATATGCCTACATATATTAGGTATTGATTTCCTAGATATATTAGATATTGCCATAGTTAAATTTCTTATAAGATACTCTTTATCATAATTAGATTTATAATAGGATACTCTTCCTATTGTATAGGACAATACATTTAATACAATTTATTAAATACAATAAATATTATTTTCTCTCTCTCTACTATTCTAACATGGTATCAAAGCTATAGGTTAAGCTCTTGGTGTTCTTCGCCTTACCGGCAGACAGTAGCCCTACATTGGCTGCCCGCCAGACCTCAACCCGTTCCGCTGTCATGTTTTCCTTTCAATATCACTTCGTGGTGATCTCTTCCTCTATCCGCTGGTTTATTCCTATCCCAAATATCTCTATCATATTTTTATTTTTATTTTTTACTCGTAATACATTTTTTTTTCTTCCACTCTATCTTTTCCTCTGCTTCAACCTCAAATTGGTTTCTATCTTTCAACCTATTTGAGTTTGAGAGGGGGTATTATACCTATATCATGGTGAATATGGTTATACACCATGCAAACCATCTAGCCGTCTCCTTGGCACACAATCCAAAACGCACTCTCTGGCGCACAACCCAAGCCGCCCCTCTCTGGCGCACAATCCAAGCCGCTTCCTCTGGCACACCACCAAACTTGCCCCCTGGCGCACCATCCAAGCTACCTCTTGGCACACTCAGCCATCTGTTGTTACCATTGTTCAGCACTATGTCATAAGTTATATGTATGTTACACTTGCTGGCTCAACATCCAGTCTCTACAACGGTCCAGCATGACCCTGTAAACTGTTTCGACATTGATTCTGGTTAGCTCCTACAACGGTCTAGCATGACCCCTTTAAACTATCCCGACATTGATTTCGGTTAGCTCCTAAAACTGTCCGGCATGACCATAAACTGTCTCCCGGCATTAGTTTCAGCCTCTGATTTCAGCATTAGTTCCAGCTAGTTTCTATATCAATCTGGCACGACCTTAAACTATCCTGGCATTAGTTTCAGCCAGTTCCTACAATTGTCCGACACGACCATAAACTATCTCCTAGCATTAGTTCCGACTTTTGATCTATTTCAAACGCCCTTACGCTCTCGTTCGGATTTTGCAATCTATTTGCCTTTTATTTTATTTAGTTTTACTTCATGTTTTTACTTTCTCTCTCCAAACTCAAGATGTTTATCCTCCTTGAGTTTGAGGGAGGATATTAATGTATATATAGTATATATTCCTACATATATTAGGTATTGATTTCCTAGATATATTAGGTATTGTCATAGTTAAGTTTCTTATAGAATACTCTTTCTCATAATTAGATTTATAGTTGGATACTCTTTCTCGGCCTATATATATAGACCTTCTATTGTATAGGACAATACATTCAATACAATTCATTAAATACAATATATATTATTTTATCTCTCTCTCTCTACTATTCTAACAAGCTCAAACGAGTTTTAATCTAACCGAGCTCAACTAACATGTTTTCTTATAATGTGACTAAGCTAGTCTTAAAAAAATAATGTTTAAGTTTGACTTGACATGGTTATATAACGAGCTGAAATGATGTTTGGATGCTCTGAAATGACTTGATTAAATGAACAATTTTCAAAATTGGAATAATAAATAGTTGGTTTTCAATGGAGTAAGTAACAATTAGTTTTCAAAATGATTGATTTCGAAGTAATGGAATGTTTTTCTCTTTCTGTTCATATGATTCTTTAACTAATTATATATAATAAATGTACTCTCGCTTCTGTTCATATGATTTCGAAGTACTTTTATGAAAGAATTTTTTAATAATCTCTATCTGATTTGTCAAGAAACTAATACGTAATTTCTTTTTATTTATATGATAAGGAGGAAACTATAAAATTAAAAAATAGAATAGAAAAATACCCAAATATAATAGGCCTCGTTTGCTAGTTGTCACACAAAGACGGTGGCGGTTTCAGTTGCCGTCGCCGGTGGGTCTTTCTCCTCCGTCGTCTCCTCTCTCTTTCCTTCTCCCAAAATCACCATTGTTGAGTCTCATTTTCTACACTTCAACTAGCTCCATATACATCTGATTACAATTGGGTATACAAGAAATGCAAGGATTGGGAATTTTCCCTTACAAAAAGGTCTACACTATCAACTAAACTTAAACTGTAATTATATGCTATGTTTGTCAGTACTATCATCACTACATATGAGTGCTTAAAGTTCAGAAACTGTTATCAACTTTATTTCTTGTTCATTCCAATGCAGTCAAATGCCTACGTGGGCAGTAGGGAAAAAATCTAGGCTGATGATAGAAAAACACAAAGGAAATCCAATAACTAAGTAGTGAGTCCGCTTATGATGGTAGTTGTATTAGGCCATAGTATGAAATACCCTTAACTAGGTAACTGAAATTCCTAAATCAAACTAACAGATCTCTTAAGAGCTTGATGCAATCAAAGATTTCAGTAAAACCCCACTCCAATTTGCTACCAACAAGCAATCCCTTGTAGGGGGTAGCCGCCATCAGCCCAACACCAATCAACACAATTATAAAAAATCTCTTTGCCATCTCCAAAATTTAGTCACCATATTCAACAGAACTATTGAATCCCCAGTGATAATTGTTACTTATATCAAGTCCAGTATTATTGAGGCTTAGCGGATATTGATAATCAAAGACTCCCAATTTCGAAATTTAACTACATTGCCACATAACATTTGTTGATTCACTTATTGGAAGTCAAATATTTTCACCCTGGTCTAAAGATTTTAATACACACGAAATAAATTTTATGAATGCTATGAATTCATTGAAAGATTCTCCCTTTAGTCAAATTGAACAGCCTATAAATGCCTTAAGTCACATCACAGACTGTGAACAAACAATGATGCATACCTAGTTTCTGAGCATCACCAAACCATTTACTCATCAAATTGGAAACCCTAACATTGATGAACACAGCACCAGACTCCTTCGCAATGGCCTTGGCAAGCATGGTCTTGCCAGTCCCGGGAGGGCCGTACAACAACACACCCTTTTGGGGACCAAGAAGCTTTCCATAGGCAAACAATTGCGGCCTACGCAAGGGAAGAATCACCAATTCGAACAACGACTGCTTAATGTTCTCCAATCCCCCAATAGAATCGAATTCCACATCGATGTGGTCCGGATTCACGACATCGCATGCTATCACATCCTATTGACCAAAAAATATAAGTTGAAACAAATTGTAAAAATGAGAGAAATTGAAGGAAAATGAAAAAGGAGATATTGAAGAATTGCCTCGTAAGGAGTGGTGTGAATGAGAGGACGACCTAATCGCTTGGAGAGTTGTCTCTTTTGTTCGAGTGCTTTTTTGGAGGCGTCACGATTGGTGTTGTCTAGGCGTCGAAGTCCTGCGAACAAAACTAAACAGCTTAGTGCGGCGCTGGCTGCGTAGAATAAGAGTTCTTGCAATATCTTCTTCCTCATGTCTGTACTGTCTCCCATGGCCGCGAATTAGGGTTTCAACATTCAAACCAATAGGAAGGTGTGACCGACGCAGAGAGAGAGAGAGA